AAACAATAAAACCAAGGGAGATTAGTTTTAGCTTCAGTGCATTTTTACGTCACTTTAAAGTATACTAAAACCCATTTAACTCGATTTTTATATTTAAAAAATTCATAATTCGACCGTCCGAGTGGAGTAATTAGCATAATTCTGCATTATGTTACGTAACGGTAAGCGTTCCAAGCTCTGACCAGACTGTCTGATGACACGAGGCGGATGCTTTTGGTAATTATTACTTTAAATGTAGGAAGTCACTAAGATCACCGCGGTAATGAGGTGCAAGCAAATAGATGATACAGAGAGAGAGAGAGAGAGAGAGAGAGAGAGAGAAAGATAGGGAGAGAGAATAGTTTATTGCACATCGAAAAAAAATTAGCATTGAAATCGGTCAGTCAAGAATAGTTTGTACAATAGGCAGGTGTAGGTCTTGTAGTTAAAAGCAATCTCTTCCAGACAATCGTTTTCATATATAAATTCAGAAAATTTTATTGCAGTGTCTATATTTCTTTTTTCTTTTTTATTGCTTAGATGAGTGAACGAGCTCACAGCCCACCTGGTGTTAAGTGGTTACTGGAGCCCATATACATCTACGACGTAAATGCGCTGCCCACCTTGAGATATAAGTTCTAAGGTCTCAAGTATAGTTACAACGGCTGCCCCACCCTTCAAACCGAAACGCCTTACTGATTCACGGCAGTAATAGGCAGGGTGATGATACCCACCCCCGCGGACTCACAAGAGGTCCTACCACCAGTAAACATTTTTGCAACTTTACAGTGTGCCGCTTAAGTTTAAAATTTCGAAAAAAGATTATAAACAAAAGAAACTTTTTTAGCTATTTCAATAGGGTAAATTTAATTGAAGCTCAATTAAAAACATTAAATTGTTGATACTAATACTAAATAAAACGGACCTTTAATTACGAAGATATATTTTGCATATTAAGTGAAATGTCATTTAAACCAAATAGCCTTTCACACTTCGAATTATAATACTAAATCACTATATTATTATCAACTAGCTGACCCGGCAGACTTCGTAGTGCCTCAATCGATAAAGAAAAGACACATCAAGGGAACACATCAAAGGAAAAACAGAATTGTTTGTTTTTATATAATTCCGAGCTTTTTTATATTTTCTCACCTTTTACGCTTTCCCTGGACTTCCACGAATAATTCAAGACCAAAATTAGCCAAATCGGTCTAGCCGCTCTCGAGTTTTAGCGAGACTAACGAACAGCAATTCATTTTTATTTATAGAGATTAGGCACAAATACTTACATTTTTTTTTTTTATTGCTTAGATGTTATTATAGATGCCTGGACCTAGACTGGTGGTAGAACCTCTTGTGAGTCCGCACGGGTAGGTACAACCGCCCTGTTTATCTCTGCCGTGAAGCAGTAATACGTTTCGGTTTGAAGGGTGGGGCAGCCGTTGTAACTATACTGAGACCTTAGAACTTATATCTCAAGGTGAGTGGCGGCACTTACGTTGTAGATGTCTATGGGCTCCAGTAACCACTTAACACCAGGTGGGCTGTGAGCTCGTCCACACATCAAAGCAATAAAAAAAGGTAGGAATGTCAATTAAAAATTAAATATACATTTCGAACAGATGTCTGGATTGCCTCCAATCTACTGTGAGCTCCGGTTCCAATAATATATAGGGTTGGCCCTGAGCTATTAATTACATCCTGCTACTTCGGTCATATTGCCCGGCGACAGTCAGATAACTTGGACAAAGTGATTGTGACGGGCAAAGTAGAAGGAAAGAGACCACGCGGCCGATTACCTAGCCGTTGGTGTGATCAAGTAACCGCTCTAACTGGGTTGCCAGTCGCAACCGCCATTCGAGCAGCTGAGGACCGGACGAGATGGAAACAGCTCACGAGACAGGCAACGGTCAAGTTTCAGGGACACGACCTTCAGCAATGAAGAAAGCGACGAAGAAGAAGAAGAAGAAGAATGTGATAAACAAATAAAAGTCAAAACCATAATTAGGAATTCAATGGCATTAAAAAAACTAGTAAAAACTAGCCTCCGTCCTGAGAAGAACTGGCAAGAAACTCAGCGGGCATGTCTTTTTTTTAAATATTAGATTTTTTTATAAATATTAATTTTTACAATGAGTATTATAAACGTAACAATTATTGCAATATTGAAATGCCCGGAGCGGGCAACTCATTCCCACTTTGTGCAATCCTCTAGATAATCATTGACTTTATAGTAAGCACTTTATTGCACAGATGTTCTTTAATAGTTTTCTTAAACTTAAGAACGATAATGAATAACCATACAATTCGGTTATTATAGTGCAGTATACTAACCACAAAAAACGTGATTCATCACAACCTTATTAACATCAACATTATGTCATCGCGCACCTTAGTTCCGAACAATTGAATCTGGCACACATCTTCTTCCGAGGGCCATAAAAAACCCCAGGTACAATAAATGTGTTAATGGCAGACAATAATCAACGTAGAATCATTCATTTGCATTTCATCTGTACTAATATATAAATCTACAGTGGTTTTTACGGATGTTCCGTTATAAATACTGAACCATGCATCCGATTGACTTGAAACTTGGTATCCATGTAGAAAATACATGTACTTAATGGATAGGCTAATATTTATATGAGTGTTGGAATCTCTTATAAGAATGACAATAAATAATAATGTTAATTTTAAATGCCCAGCAGAGCGGGCGAGTACGGCTAGTTTGCTCATAGTTTCAGAAGTATTTTTATCGAAGTATGTCTGATTGCTGGGACGTCTTTTCATTTCACCAGGGCCAGTTCAAGGAGTTCACTGAACACTTTGGAGATGTGCCCACAGACACAGCCCACTGAGTTTCTCGCCGGATCTTCTCAGTGGGTCGCGTTTCCGATCCGGTGGTAGATTCTGCGAAGCACAAAGTTCGAAGTGGTCGTGGCCTAAAGGATAAGACGTCCGGTGCATTCGTGTTGAAGCGATGCGTGTTCGAATCCCGCAGGCGGGTACCAATTTTTCTAATGAAATACGTACTCAACAAATGTTCACGATTGACTTCCACGGTGAAGGAATAGCATCGTGTAATAAAAATCAAACCCGCAAAATTATAATTTGCGTAATTACTGGTGGAGGACCACTTGTGAGTCTGCGCGGATAGGTACCACCGCCCTGCCTATTTCTGCCGTGAAGCAGTAATGCGTTTCGGTTTGAAGGGTGGGGCAGCCGTTGTAACTATACTGAGACCTTAGAACTTATATCTCAAGGTGGGTGGCGCATTTACGCTGTAAATGTCTATGGGCTCCAGTAACCACTTAACACCAGGTGGGCTGTGAGCGCGTCCACCCATCTAAGAAAAAAAAAAGCACTGCTCTCGCTAGGGCCAGTGTTAGCCTCCGGTTTGAGTCCCGCGAGCTCACCTAAACGTTATGGTGAAGCTGATGTAGCCTCTCAAGGCTATCAGCACAGGTAGGAAAAAAAAAGAAATTTGAGATGTAGGAGGAACCTGTCTAAACCTTAAAGTTGGTCGAGCATATTTCTTTACCCTTTTAACGGAGTTTGAGTGCTAGAAACATTAAACCCGTAAAATTATAAATTGCGTAATTACTGGTGGTAGGACGTCTTGTGAATCCGCACGGGTAGGTATCACCACCCCGCTTATTTTTGCCGTGAAGCAGTAATGTTTTTCGATCTGAAGGGTGGGGAAGCTGTTGTACATGTTAGAGCTTTGTCTCAAGGCTGAATTTACGTTGTAAATGCCTATGGGCTCCAGATACCACTTAACATTAGGTGAGCCGTAAGCTCATCCATTCATCTAAGCAATAAAAAAAAAGGTTTGAATAATAAGCGAAATTAAAAAAAAAAAATGTTTTTGTATCCCATTGATCTTGCTCTCAGGATATTGGGGCGAAAATAATAAAATTATTAAAAATTAATAAAATTATTGTACTGTCAACGGTCCTTGATGTGTGTGAAAATTTGCAAGTTAACACGTTGACTGCCGTGTAGGTCAGCGGTGCCCTGCGTGGGGCACTAAAGTAATTATGTCGATTTCTGCCTTCGATCTTCTTACAAAGGCGCCGGAATATCTAGTAGACTCTAGGAAAGACGAATTCGAAGATACTAAGATACATACATTAAAAACAAAAAAGACAAAGTTAGGCAATTCCGGTGCTCACTAACAGAAATCGACATAAATTCTTCAGTGCACCACGTAGGGTACCAGTGACCTACATGGCAGTCAAAGGGTTAATCGGACATCTTCGGTGAAAAATATGTTCAAAGATTCCGTTACACATATAGATCGAAGTCATGGTAAGAAAAAGCGTATTAAAAATTATAATTTTCTTGACCAGAACCAATTTTAGCATTGAAATAAAGAATTATTAATTGTGTTTTATTTAACTGATCTCAAATCTCTTCGCGGTAGGTAACGGCTTGGCTCTGCCCCTGGTATTGCTGAAGTCCATGGGCGACGGTAACCACTCACCATCAGGTGGGCCGTATGCTCGTCTGCCTAGAAGGGCAATAAAAAAAAATCGATTTCCGAATCGAATTTCGAATCTAAATGACTCCTTAAAAAGCTCGAATTTTTCGATTAAGTTGCACGTTATTAAGCCTAAAGATAATTCATTAACTAGACAAGGTTGCCTCTACACTTTATTTACCTCAATAAATTAACTTGTAAAGTTAACAAACGCGTTAATTTAGCCTCAATCTCAAAGACGTCTCAACCATTGTGTTAATTTGCGTAAGAAAATCGTTCTAATTGTCGAATATTCATTAATATGTCAGCTATCCCCTAATCCGTTGGACCAAACAATATTGAACCGGCTCCTCAACTTTAGATCATAATGAACACGGCGCATATTACATTGGATGTTTTGCAAGATAATACCCAAAACTACTTGGTCTTGTATTCTTAAGTGAAAGTTTTTAAATGCAGCTCTTGTTATGCTGGCTGTATTAAGGCACAGAGGTTAAAAGCGTGGTGTATGGTTCACATTCGCTCATTCACACACGAACGTTGCCTGTCAATATTACTGACATCTGACTTGTCAATTTTTTTTACGGAAAGTGAGTTTTTTTTTCGGCAAAGGAAAAGTGTAGTGCTGTGTATTAGGATCTTTAATTATTATTTTTTATATATTTTTTTTAGCTTTCTTCGGAGCCTAGGCACGTCTTTTATTTCAAAGATATAAACGGTGAGTTTTACTTTTTTTTATTAAATAGATCTGTGAATGATAGCTCGGGTTTGGTAACTATTAAATAAATAAATAAACTTATTTTAAGAAAGAAAAAATATATAAGTAAATGCCGGTAGAATTTAATTCGAATATTAGCATACGAATCAATGTCAGTATAGTGTAGTTAATGGAACATTAAAAATAATGCAAACCTAATAACTCTTACAAAGGCGCAAATCTATTCCTACCAGCCAACGACTAAGCAAAACAAGAAATATTTTATAAAAAAACATAGGTAGCCTGAAATAGTATAATTCTCAAAACCAATTATAAGTAATAAGAAATTTTGGAATTTTCTTTTTTTTTAACCAAATTCAAAAAAGGAGGAAGCACTCAATTCCGCCGTGCGTAGTAGGAATAGCCCAATATAAAGAAAAATAAAGTTATGTATAATTTTCGACCAGCGGGACATTATTTTTTTTAAATTAATGAGGCAATTATTATGAAAGAAACAAATGATAGTATGATTTGCTGGTATGATCAAAAAAAGCTATGCTGTCTGAGCTGCTGGGCATTACGACGTGCACTTTGGCATTTAAGGATATCTCACATATCCAGATTAGAGCGTTTGGCTCTTGTAGGGTTACTTACTACACTCCGGTTTTTTAATAGGAAAATAGACGGTAGTTAACACAATATTAAAATATCGACATATAACAATCTTAATCGTCCGTAACCGCGAAAACCGGGTTTGGAATGTTTGGTGAAAACTCCGCGATGTTTCCCGAGCGCTATGACATGTCCTTCTTCAAACGAGGCTTGTGGAGTGTGCTTAACGGTAGGCTGCGGCTTGGCTATGCCTCTGGCATTGCTGAACTGCATGGGCGACGGTAACCACTCACCATCAGGCGGGCCGTACGACCGTCTGCCTGCTAGAGCAATTAAAAAAAAAAAACTATAGTGTATCCGAAACGTCAGAAATAATGTAATGACAGTAAAAAACGCGGGATCGAAACGTCAAAGTAGTTTTTATTTTATCTATGACCTGCGAACAGCCTAGTTAATACCATACGCCGAAATGTAGTATCGATTCGTGCTGTTTCACCAAACACTCGCCCATCTGAATGTAGCGCAATAATGTTACGTAAAACCTCTCATCATCAGTGCCATCCGTTACTCATGATGGCGACCAATTGACAGCTTCGGCAGCGTCTTCCTGAAAAGCTTATCGATTAAAAAACCTCCTAGCGTAAAGCCCGAACCTTATTTTATTCAGATTTTGCATCCATAATAAATTCGTTAACATTTCATATAGTATTACCAGAATTAAATAAAAACAACAACTAGAATTTCGGAATAAAACAAAAGCAATCATAATTATAATAATAAAACAAAAAATCAAAATTAACGTCAAAACTACCTTAACCTAAAGGCTGGTTTATTATCGTGTATTTTTTTTTATTAATAACAACATTTCGCAAGTGTTATATCATGTGAATGTGTCAGTTCCGAGGGTGAAAGGTCGTCTAGTTAAACTTACGCGGGCGCAGCGAGAGATCCGCGCCGTCATTGCAGTTCATATTCATTATTTGATGTCATTTTTGTGTTATTACGAGTAACGATTTGCTGGTACGCGCGGATGGATCTAAGAGAATCGTACCGGCTGTACCGGAGATGATCACGCGTTTTCGGGTGAATGTACATAATGATGTAGATTTCTTTTTGTTCGTACCAGTGGTGTAGCCGGTGGCTTTTTAATGTAATGTTTTTTTATAATTATTTACAAAGTCTTTTTAAATGGCTCTAGATGTTGCCGTGCGGTGTATTTTTGTCGAGAAGTAATAATTTGGCCCAGTTTGAAAAGTTTTAGGTTTTACTGGTGGTAGGACCACTTGTGAGTCCGCGCGGGTGGTACCACCACCCCGCCTATTTCTGCTGTGAAGCAGTAATGCGTTTCGGTTTGAAGGGTGGAGCAGCCGTTGTAACTATACTTGAGATCTTAGAACTTATATCTCAAGTTGGGGGGCGCATTTACGTTGTAGATATCTCCATAGAGCCCATGCTCCAGTAACCACTTAGCACCAGGTGGGCTGTGAGCTCGTCCACCCATCTAAGCAATAAAAAAAAATACAATTGAGGCGTTCACGTCTTTAGGTGACCACGTATCGAGTACCATCAATCCGTTTAGCCATTTACACCAAAAACAAAAACCCAGATGGAATGCCGCGATAACTGATGACCAATTACCGAACCGGTCGACGGACTACCCGAAGTTCGCCTAGAGGGACCCGGGCCCCTCAGATGGACTAATCCACTAAGTCCTTGTTTCCTTCATATCTTTGTTTCCCTCGTCCTAAATCAATCTTTATCTCTATGCATTTAGATATTATGTCACTTTTGACATATCCGATGTCATTACATAACTGTCATCTGTCAGATGATACAATGTAAACAGGCAAACGATTTGTCACTCCTTTATGTCCACTAGAGCTTGTATTACTTTAACATCCGTGCTCGACCTAACCTTTTGTTATAATTTGCATAACTAACAATGCATGTTGAGTGCTATTTTTTGACGGGTTCTTGCCACGATTTTTAGTTTTGGTTAGTTTCTTTTTCGAACACAATCAGTAGGGTTTGAAGAGCAGACAAATATCTATTTACCGTCTTTTTGATATATTTTTCGGTATTACGACTGAAGATGACGGTACTGACAGCTTTTCAAGTCTTCTTTTAATTCCTAAGATGGGTGAACGAGCTCAAGGCCCACCTGATGCTAAGTGTTCACGGAAGCCCATAGACATCAACAACGTAAATGCCTCTATCCACCTTGAGGCATGAGTTCTAAGTTTCAATGTTATACAACGGCTGCCCAACTCTTCAAGTCGTAACGCATTACATGGCTTAAACTGGTTTCATGCCATCATCTTGGTATTTGCTAGGAGAAACTTTTCTCTTTTCCTGGAGTATTTTAAAGGATAGGAGTATAGTATATGACGGAGACTTGACATGTTATTTGACATGGTTGGGATCTTCTATCGGTGTATGAGAAAAAAAGTTAATTGCCCAGGATAGAGTATTTTTAGCATTATTGAATTATCTCTAGTTTAGGGTTGATGTGCAATTTTAAAATATGGATAATTGGTATTTTTTTTGGTTTTCGGGAGCTTATAAACATACTTTAAAATCAGATTCGAACCTTCGGATATTAGAACATGTTTTTTTTTATTGCTTAGGTGTTTGGACGAGCTCACAGCCCACCTGGTGTTAAGTGGTTACTGGAGCCCATAGACATTTACAACGTTAACACGCCACACACCTTGAGATATAAGTTCTAAGATCTCAGTATAGTTATAACGGTTGCCCCACCCTTCAAACCGAAACGCAATACTGCTTCACGACAGAAATAGGCGGGGTGGTGGTACCTACCCGCGCGGACTCACAAGAGGTCCCACCACCAGTACCATGAATATGTTAAGCCGCTTAATGTTAAATAATCCGAGTTAGTCTATTTATAAAGCTGTCACGGGAACAGAAAGCTCCGAATCGAAAGTTTCACTAACTCGTATGAACTTATAAGTCAGCCGAGATTCTAGCGTAGACCTTCCTGAGGCCTAACCTTGCAGCTTTTCGCTTTCGATAACCTTTAACCCGCCGACTCGACAGCTTTCGTTTTCACTGCAAACGAACTTAATCACGATTGAAAAGCTCGCGTGCGTTATCGATAGTGAAAAAAGAATTAATATTCCAATTCAAAGTTATGTTTTAAATTTTATTAGTTTGTTTATTAGTTATATTCGATACGCTACTGGAAATGATTGATGTTTTTGTCCTACCTAATCGTTGATAGCCTTTTTTTTTTATTGCTTAGATGGGTGGACGAGCTCACAGCCCACCTGGTGTTAAGTGGTTACTGGAGCCCATAGACATCCACAACGTCAATGCGCCACCCATCTTGAGATACAAGTTCTAAGGTCTCAAGTATAGTTACAGTTATAGTTAGCCTAAGGCGACATTCCAACTACGCGCGGTAGATAAGCTCACGGACTTTCTTCTTTTAACCTGAGAGGATTTGCTAACACTAGCCCTAGCAAGAGCAGTGCTTCACTGAATCTACCATCGCATCGGAATCGCAATCCACTGAGGAGATTCGGCGAGAAACTCAGTGGGTTGTGTCTGTGGGAATTGTATTGTTGTTAGGGTGGGTGCCACTGCTCTACCTATTTCTGAAAAGCGACCGTGCTCTCTAGGTTTTGGGGTGGGGAAACTTTTATACATTACAATTAACAACTGGTGGTAGGACCTCTTGTGAGTCCGCGCGGGTAGGTACCACCACCCCGCCTATTTCCGCCGTGAAGCAGTAATGCGTTTCGGTTCGAAGAGTGGGGTAGCCGTTGTAACTATACTGAGACCTTAGAACTTATATCTCGAGGTGGGTGGCGCATTTACGTTGTAGATGTCTATGGGCTCCAGTAACCACTTAACACCAGGTGGGCTGTGAGCTCGTCCATCCATCTAAGCAATAAAAAAAAAATAAAAAAAAAATTAAGATTTCCACATCATTTTGGAAGGTGGTCTCTAAGTAGATTGTGGTGACCATGGACTGCAGTAGCTCCATAAAGCCAAATAGACAGTGAGAGGCTTTGCACAGCTATAAAAATGCAGTCTTATGAATTTTAATTTAGTGTTTACATTAAATTATCGAAACTGGCTTCTAGAATTAATCTGGCATGACCTATCACATGTTAATATTACAATGCCACAAAGTATCAATATATAATGGCCGAAGACATTCGAATGCGCATTGTTGTAAATAATAGTATGTATTAGATAAAAAAAATAAAAAAAATTTATTTTTAACTAGCTGACCCGGCAGACTTCTTAGTGCCTCAATCGATAAATAAAAGACCTAAACTATTGTATAAAATAAACTTAAAACAAACATAAGGAATCCGTCCGACGGGGGACACATAAAAGGAAAAACAAAATTGTTATTTTTATTTAATTCCGAGCATTTT